TACAGACATAAAATTGTACTTACGTGTGCGGCCTTACGCTGATATAGTTTTTAGGTACAAAGCCCTTCCTGTTCACCAACTCTGCTGTGTACCAGTTAGGATCATCTTCCATATTAGTGATCTAGTGGAAGAAAAGACCATAAACAAATCATATCATTCAGCAAGCAATGCATAAAACCAACACAAAACTGCTTTTACCTTGAGTACATCTCCCTTCTGAAAGCTAAGCTCGTCACTTTCCGTGGCACAAAAGTTGTAAAGAGCTACTGCTTCCATCCTGAGCTGGAGGTGAAGCCAGATCCCAGAAGATCAATGTGGGTAGACGTCCCACCACAGCAACAGAATACAGACGAGAGGAAAGGACGAGCCCAGAGAGCATCCACGCTGAAACAGCCCGTCCAGAGACACGCTCACTATCAAACACCGCACCGAGATAAATGAACCGAGAGAACGAGCATGAGAATGTGTGTGGGTCTAAAAGAGAGAGAGAGAGAAGTATGTGGGAGGGAGGCAGGGGTGGCAGTTCCTGTCTCAGTGTGCTCTTGTAGAAGGAAATACAGCTATGTGAGAAACAGGAAAGTTGAAAAAATGATGGGAGGACGACGAAAAGAATGGCCTCTTGAAAACTTCCTCTCATCAGAGAGCCGGACCTGCGTATTACAAGTAAAGAATAACACGCATGTGTTTGCCTGACTGCTGTTTTATGAGCAGATCTGTCACTGAGCAAGTGTTAGTTTAGACTTTTCTTCAGATATTACTAGCACTTACTAGTCTGGAAATAGCTGGAGATGAATCAAATCAGCTGAGGAGTTCATCTGAAAGAATTCATGATTCAAAGAACATATGTGTTTTGAGATAAGCAAACGTCCCCAGAGCTGCATGACTCACTGAACACCTCACAATGAATGTTTCTCTATTGGTGCTGCTGTTTAGCCCTGAAATGCACATCAACGTCCCATTTGTGGCTATAGATATTTCACAAGAAATGGTCTTTTCTTTTGATATTCCTCAGTGAAAAGAATTTTTGCACATTTATGTTTTTAAAATGAAACCTCTAGCTTTCATATGTTTTCATTTTCCATCTGTTAACTATATCTTTAAAATCATACACTCTAACAAATGCTGGATTGTTTCAACCCAACTTTGGGTCAAATATGGACTAACCCAACTTTTGGGTTAAAAATTTAATGTAAAAATTTAACCCAACGGTTGGGTTAGTCCATATTTGACCCAAAGTTGGGTTGAAACAACCCAGCATTTTTTAGAGTGTATCAATGAACATATTTACATTTAGTAAGAAAGTAGCTAGCAAGCTGTCCTCTCATTGAGCAACTGGACACACATTCTCTCTCACATCTAAATTATCATTAAAATTGATTTTCATTGACTAAACAATTAATTTTATATATGCATCTGATTGTATTTCACATGTTCTAGGGTTGAGTAGTTGCAGGATGGGAATACCCATTCTTGCTCTCATTTTAGAGCTTTGAAATAGACTATTTTACTGTAAGATGTCACACTCGAGACATCATGATCAAATTCAAAGAGTCTGTCTTGGCATTGCCTATGCAAGAGGACCGTAATGGGGCTGATTACGCACACAGACAGTCATTATTGCTGTTTGAGCTGATTTTATGAACACTCCCCAAGTCGGAGAGGAGCTGTTTACAAATTCCCTTTCAGAACATTTGAAGTTTAGCCATAAAGAAAGAAAGTTGCTTCATGAATGATCATTTAAATGTGACAAACCTACTGTATGTGTACAGACATAAACATCTAGTTAGGATTTCAGCAGCACTCAACACAATATTTTCCATGACTTAAACTGCTACTTCAACTTGGAAACATTTTGCACCACAAAAGACAATCTGTGAATGTGACTTGCACCCAGGTGTAGGATTGCACATGAGAAACTGCTGGTGGGGTGAAGCTGCAGACAGAAAGTCAAGATGCTTAACATTTCATTGCAGGAAGCCCATTGTAGCATTAATTTCACCACTTAGAGGAAACTATATGTGTTGGTGTGTGTGTGTTTTTATGGATCTTATTTAATTACATTACAGCTCTCACAGACCTGTAACTTCTTCTTTAAGAGGCTCCTCTGTCCTCCACTGGTTACCTGTATTAATGGCATCTGTTTGAACTCGTTATCAGTATAAAAGACACCTGTCCACAACCTCAAACAGTCACACTCCAAACTCCACCATGGCCAAGACCAAAGAGCTGTCAAAGGACACCAGAAACAAAATTGTAGACCTGCACCAGGCTGGGAAGACTGAATCTGCAATAGGTAAGCAGCTTGGTGTGAAGAAATCAACTGTGGGAGCAATTATTAGAAAATGGAAGACATACAAGACCACTGATAATCTCCCTTGATCTGGGGCTCCACGCAAGATCTCACCCCGTGGGGTCAAAATGATCACAAGAACTGTGAGCAAAAATCCCATATACACACACAGTATGTATGTCTGTGTGTGTATATATATCCGGAGAAACACATGCAACGATATAAACATTATGGGGGGCAGAAAAGGGCTTCCTGAGCATGAAACAAGGAAACCACAAACAGAGGGGTGTCTCGGTAACAGAGGTTGAAAAATATAGATGCACTGCAACCATTTCATACTTGCTAGTATTGCTAATAACCACACCATTTACATTCTCATTTACAAAGACGTTATGCACACCATTCTTCGCCAAAAAAATAAATAAATAAAGACTGGGGTGAAACTTTCTCCTAAACAAATAGTTTAGGATCAAATAAAAAGGATAAACCAACATAAAAAAAAATTCGGTTATAATTTACTCTTGTTTCAAACCTGCATTACATGCTTTTTTCTGTGGAAAATAAAATAGGATATATACAATACAACCAAAACGGTTTGGTTATTAACATTCTTCAGAATAATCATACAAGTTTAGAACAACATGAGGGGGAGTAATTTATGACAGAATTTAAATTTTTGTGTGAATCATCATTTAAGGATGACTAAATTATTTGTAGTCGTTGCATCTCTTACAGAATAAGCCATGCCTTACATCTAGCATATATTATGATCCACATTTAAAGGCTATTATAATACAAATATTCATGTTGGACTGTAAATCTGAGTTTCATTGCTCACTATTATTCAAATCTTGTGGATAGTACCATTAGATAATGAAAATTACACTGACTTGACAAAAGAAACAAGAGGAACACCATATTATGTCTAGAAGTCATGCGAAGGAAACTATGCAGATTGGGAAACATTTCTACATTGCTAAACGGAAACTACTGTTTTGCTTCACTGTGGGATGTCACATGCAGACTGTACGCAGAAATAAATGCATGCATCATGAAAGGGACCACACAGCTTCACCACACAGCTCTTTTAAGGTCAAAGACAGGGTCTTTTTTGAACACTTTTAGAGGAGAACAACATTATTGTTTACCACATATTGTAATTAATGAGATGACAATACTGAGATGTAATAAGATGGAGTAAAAGTGAGAACGATTGTACACAGATTTAGAAGTTGTTTCACTTCACTTTCCCCAAAGAGGATTTATCATCATTACACACGTCTATTTCAGTACCATGAGAAGGAAAATCTTCACCATGCTGCCTCTTACTGGTGAACTCCTGTCAATACTACTAAATCTAGTCTAGCCGACCATAAGTCAATGTATGCGTCACATTTCACTAAAAATTCTTCTTTAAAGAGTTGAACTGTGTCCACTGGTTTTTATTTCCAACAGTCAAATAGAAGATTCTCATTTTAACACATATATTATGTTTGTAAGTAGTAAAATGGCATTATAGTTACTAAAAAAGCATCATATTATGTTCATTCTAATGTTTTTACTGTTACATCTGGGTCCAAGTAAGTTCATAAACCTTAAGTGTCTTTTGTCTGTATTTGGTATGTGTATAAGTCTATGTGTATAAGTCTGTCTATTCAAATAACCATCTAAATTTTATTAATTTAAACCATTTGATATGAATTATATTTAATCATTATTATTTATTTACTCACTCACTCGCTTACTTACCGTTATTTCTTTCACCAAAAGAACAGTTTAAAATATATCACCTTTTTTGAGATGTGTTGATGCCATGAAATTTAAAATCAACTTATTTTTCCATTAAAATTATACATTTTCTCAGTTTAAACATTTGATATGTCATCTATGTTGTATTCTGAATAAAATATTGAAATTTGAAACTTCCACATCATTGCATTCTGTTTTTATTCACAATTTGTACAGTGTCCCAACTCTTTTGGAATCGGGTTTGTGTATATTAATGACAACTTCCACATCATCTGTCTGTTTTGTGTTTTTAGTCTCAAAAACATAGTAACCATATCTATTTTTTCCCCCTAAAATACCACTTAGTACAGTTTACTACAGTTAAACTGTGGTAGCATGGTAGTTGCCAGTAATGTAGTAAAATAAAAGTCTGATAATCCTAAGATTCTGGTATCCTAAGACTGTTTAAATTCTATAACTGCTTATTTTTGCTAAAAGAAAATTATTGCTTTAACTTTACCATAACCGTGGTGTTTTGGTGGAAATTAGGCTATTTTACATTTTTGCATAACAAAGGGGAATGCTATTGTGTAATATTGTACTGTTACGAATCGTCCACATCGTCTTCTGAGACAGAGCTATTTTAAACACGATGAGAACGTGAAGTTTATTTCCTAGAAACATTCCACCTCGGGGCCACAGTCAGATGTCTCCCATATAAGCCCGCTTGGGGGCCACATTCCGCCGAGTTATCGGTTTCGGTCATTCAAGAGCACACTTATCTCACGATGATGGAAAGTGTACACTCATTTCAGTAGAACACCGCTTAATAGGTGTCTTGGTTGACTTCCACGGCCGTGAAGAGGCTCGCAGCGGTGATATTTGGGAAATAAAGAGTTTTAAGAATGAAGCCCAGTGAGTTTGGTCACACCCTTTGGCTGGTCTCGCCCCTCAGAGGAGGATGAATGTGCAGTCAGAGCGCCATGTTGAACGCTGTGGGTGTCTCTCTCTCACACACACACACACACAAGCCCAGCACACTAACACTAACACACACCTCGACCGTGTCTTAGAAAATAAAGTTTCTATCTCTCTCACACGAGTAGTGTGTACTTATGCCGGGTGTTACCCCCGGTCATCATCGGCACAGGAGGTTTGGTAAGTTACTGGTTTTGTTTTCTAGTCGCTTCTCTCAGTGTGGCGATATCTCCACCGAGCACCACACACGTTTCGGCTTGAGCTTGAACTAATTCTGGGTGTTTTTGCTTAAACACGTTATTTAAAGCGAAAGGCTATGATAAAGCTCGATTTCCTTTGCGGTCTGAAAGGAACTAGAGCGATATTTGATTAAATTAGCAAGTTAGTCGGAGCTTAGCCACAGTTAGCTAGCCTAAACGGCTAACGTTAATACTTAAACTCACTTTATAGCTTTTAAAGAGTCGGTGTCCCTAAAAACAAAACCCCAAACCACCACAGCCTGGATGCGCTGAGTCTTACAACATTTTCAACAACATAATATTAGTAACATCAATTAGTTTAGTTTTTAAAAAGTTCTCGTAGTTAACGAAACTTTCGTCGTGTTTCTGTAGCTTGCTAGTTAGCAATTAAACCTTAGATGGAAACGGACTAAAAACGTTCATGTTGTTTTATACATTTAAAAATATACAAGGACAGTTAAGCGCAGGTTTGTTTTGTATTTTGGTCAATATTAGTACATTTTATTAGTTTGGTTGTGCTAAAGTTAGTTCGATAACGTACTTTAATACATTTGTAACCGGCCTTGTTTGGTTAAACTGCTTTTAACAAGCCTCGTTAGGATTATTTGTGTTTGTGTAACGGATAACGTATATTTAAATGGAGTTGTAAACTCGGATACTTTTCTACTCACCGCTGTAATCTTGGTCCATTTGGTACATAAGCTGTAACTTAAGTCCGTTTCGTCTAGCTATAGTATCTTATATCAATAATTTACCACGACTTAACTTTGGTTTATTCAAACCGTTCTTGAGATATTCACCAAACACTTTCTGCTCAGTGTACATTTATGGTGTTCTTGGATTAGTTTGTCCAAAGGTTTGTCTGTGAGATTACTGTGTAGTCAAAAATCCGTTGCTTAAGTTTGGGCAAAGACGGATTTGTGGTTTGGCGAGTTTTTGTCGACATTACAAAAAGATTGTGGACAGTATGACCAGAACGGTTTTATCCCCATAACACGGAGATTTCTCACAGTTCCTCCTCTGATCTCTTGCTGGACACACCCGTGAACGAGGGGAGCCGTTGTCTGTTGTTTCTGTGATCAATTTCTGCATGCATCTGCATCTTTTAATGTTTTGCTTCCTGTAATTAGACAAAAAGAGTCTCTGGAGGACAGCACAGCAAGAGCCGATCATCTGCCTTTATTTAGCCACCAAAGTGGAGTCTACCATTTGTCACGTCTTGAATATTGAATACATTAGATGTTGAGAGATTTCTGTAGCATTATGTATAGGAAGCAGTTGACTTGAAGTGGCAGAACCGGCTGGTTTACCTGTGAGGAGAAGCCCGTTCTCACAAGCGCTGGCTTATATAACATCCACCTTTTTCAGTTCGCCCTGCAGGCCTGACTTCTATGGAGTAATTCAAGATATGTGTGCATTTCCCCCCTAATTCTCCCTCTTAATTCTTGTAGTGTTTTAGCATGCAAAATCTTAACACCTGCTTTTTCTTCGCTGCTGGATTCTCTCTGCAACCACACACACCCTTCCTTGATGCTTCCACAATGGTTCCTTAAAGACATGAGACATGCTGGCACTTGCCATGCTCGTCTTTTGTTTGGATTGAGTCATATCAGGGTAGCCTGTTCTTCACAGCTGTGCGGAACTTGCTCTTGGTGTTGCTTATGCAGGATTAGTATTCATTGCATGGGTGTCATGCAGCCGGTCATGGATCAGATGGCCTGCGCATCTCAAATGTTGGAGGAATAAGTCAAAGCAGTTGCTGTGTGCAGTAAGGTCACCGTGATTCTTGCCTTTTTGCTGCCAATATTGTATGGCCTGTGTTGTGTGGGCTGATTTTCGCTTTAGTGCCTGTGTGCAATGTGCATTAGAGTTGTTTTTTGTTCTCGTGAAATTAAAAATAGTCTTTCTCTTCTGGGAAAATGGGCCGAAAATATTGAAGACCTTTTCTGTGCTGCTCATATTGTTAGACCCACATAGATGAGGTCTAGAATGAGAATTCCCCTCCCCCTGTAGTTGAGTAGCCAAATAGTGAATGATTACTCATTGATGTGACATAATTAAAAAAATAATTATTTTTAATTAAAATATTTTAATATTTTAAATTCCGTAAAAATTGAATTTACTGTATAACGAGGAATTTCATGGAATTTGTCTTATTTTTGATGAATAAATAAAAAACAGGTCAGTAAATATATATATATAGACTGTGTCTGTGAATATTAAACTGCAAAAAGACTTATTTAAAAACGAATCCTCATGTTCTGCATGTTCATTTGAAAATACACAACACAGAATTTGTGAAAAAATATTTATTCAATAATTATTTATTCAATAATTAAAAAATATTTATTCAATAATTATTTATTCATTTTAGATGTTTACATTTGGAAAAGCTGTGCTTCCTGCATAAACTTGCCCCTGTTGGATTGGCAGTAGCTTGCTTGCCCTACACGGTTACCTTGTTTAATTTCTTAATTCAAGTTATATTTTGTTCTATTTGTGTTTAAGTTATTTGAAAGTGAATTGGAGTTTACTGTTAAGTGCACTGATGTCAGACTCATTTAGAATAATAAAGCTTATTGTTAAATTGTTAAATACCCTGCCTCCACTACATAGGCCTACGTTTGTCACATCATTTATAAGTGTTTGATAACTCAAATGTGGTGATCATTGCAAAAAATGTGTTTATGTATATATATTCTGTTTATGTAGGCTATATACTCTATTCTATATACAGTACCAGTCAAAAGTTTGGAGACGTGAATGGGAAGTGTGCCCAAACTTTTGACTATACTGTACTATAATATAGCCTACACACAAAGAATATCGGGCGATATATATCGATATTGGTCTTTTTCCCCCCTCCCTAATATTGGTATCGGCATCGGCCCCTAAAAAACCCATATCGGTCAGGCTCTGTAAAGTATGTATTGTACCCAAACCACCTGTTTTAATAGCAACTGCATCAACACAGGAAAGAAAACTGTCAGTCAAACCATTTAATGGGGTATTCGGTTTTTATATGGTAATACATTTTCACCTTAATTTTAGAATTTGCATTTTATTTGCTGGTGATATTCAGCAGTTCTCCAAATAAGTAATTTTATTTTTGAGTGCACTAAATTTATGCATTCTAAAGGGCCGTTCACATAGAACACATTAATTCACCTTTTTCATTGTTTTCTCATGTTAGAACCGTGCACATGAAACATTAAAAAAGGGACATTCAAATAAGTTTAGTTTTTAAAACACATTGCAAGACCATACACTTTTCCCAATCCACTTTCCACGTCTTGTGTTTTACCTTGGTTTTAGCAAAGGTAAAATTAGCTGGCATACAAAATCTGCTCCGTTCTCTTTGCAGTTAATTAGGAAAATACTGTTAACCAAATATTGAAGGAGATTTCGAGGAGGTATTCGACAGTTCTCAGAATAAGGAAGTTCTGTAGCGATCTGGGGTTGATAAAACACTGCCAATTCCCCAAAATACATTTATAGCAGCATTTCCATGTAGTGCAACAGGAGTGTTGTCAAAACTGTATTTTATAGAAGCAGATCGGGTTCTTTGGGACTCCTCTTTTTTTGAAGCATTTACATCTTTTAAAGTGTCCTAGTATTACTTCAGCCGATTTCCTGGACAGGTTTCATGTCTTCTTGAAGTAGAAAACAGAGAGCCAGTGCTGCTCACAGGACTTGCTATGCTCAGTCTCTGGCGCTGCTTCAAGACCGATCACTGAGACTCCTTGATATTGGCAGGACATTGCCAGACCTGTTCTTTTAGTATGGAGGAGGCCATCCTTACACAGACCCGGGCCTGTGTGCTGGCTTCCTGGGCCCCCGTCACAGTGAGAGCCACTGGAGCTTTGTTCCGGTAGTGATACAGTTGCCCCTCTCTTCCTCTGATGTGCTGGGCCTGAATTGGTCATTAAAGCAGCAGATGTTTCATTAGGCCATGGCTGTATTCATGTGTATGCGGGCTTGGGGGAGCGGAAGTGGGGGTTGCTCGTAAGGCAGCGCTCTATTGGCTCCTCCGCGGGAGAGCAGGAGTCACATTTCAGTAGCTTTTAATGAATTTATGGGATGGGTTGAGATGGTTTCTTGGCGATTGAAATGTCATGGTGAGCTCAGGACAGGAAACTTATATTTAGTTATTACTTTGATGCCTCATTTGTGCTGAATTCAAGCATAGATTGATTTTACATGCCGTACTGTAATAGAGAGCATGGTATGGTGCAATTACTTTTGGGAAATAAGATGTCTTCCCACATGAGTGTTGTGTTACCGTAAAAGATGAGTAATAGGAAGCACTTCACACACTAAGCCGCCCTTCTGTGTGTACACGGTTATGTTTTACTCCACGTGTACCTGGGTGGTATGATGCGTTGAAAAGTGAACAGCTGTGATCCATTTCTCTATATCTGAACTGTGGTATTAACTGAAGGAGCTGCAAGTGTAGTTTGGTAATGGACCATTAAACTTCTGTATGCACATTGTGCAATTCACCATGGTTATCAACATGATCACTTTCTTTTTGTGTAATGTTTGTGGAAAGAAAAATGAACATGATAATTGCTTTTACTGTTTTTGTGTGCACTAGATCTTATGCAGTCTAATTGTGCAACTATTACTAGGTTCTGGTTTGAACCTTTTCCGTTTCTGTCTAACATTTTGGTTTTGTGTTTCAGGTAATGGAGGAATTCATCGAGCTGGCTTCCTTCACTCTGTGGAAATGGTTTTAACAGGCACAGAGTAACACGGAGAAACTGTTCAAACGGAGAACGTGTGTTCGAACTATTACACAACAGACTTCTCTTATTTATTTTTATTTTTTTAAGCAAAACTGAGTTTTTTATTTTCAATTCTCAAGGATTTTAACACTACACGCCACCATGCCAAGCTCAACTATTCGGAGACAGATGAAAAATGTGGTAAATAACTATTCGGAGCCTGAGAAGAAGGTCAGGGAAGCGACTTCCAATGACCCATGGGGCCCCTCCAGTTCTCTGATGTCAGAGATTGCCGACCTCACTTACAATGTGGTGGCCTTTTCGGAGATAATGACCATGATTTGGAAGAGGCTGAATGACCACGGAAAGAACTGGCGGCATGTGTACAAAGCCCTGACGCTGCTGGACTACCTGATCAAAACGGGCTCCGAGCGAGTGGCCCTGCAGTGCAAAGAGAACATCTTTGCCATACAGACGCTCAAAGATTTCCAGTATATCGATCGGGATGGCAAAGATCAGGGCATCAACGTCAGAGAGAAGTCAAAGCAGCTGGTTGTTCTGCTGAAGGATGACGACCGTCTGAAGGGTGAACGCTCTCAGGCCCTGAAGACTAAGGAGCGCATGGCACAGGTGGCCACCAGTGTGGGCAGCAACAATCAGATCAGCTTCGGCCGTGGCTCTAGCCAGCCCAACCTCTCCACCAGCTACTCAGAGGAGTATGGCAAGTCTGAGGGCTCACCTGCATCATATCATGGATGTAAGTTTCTTTAGCTTGTTAACTTGCAAGCCAAATTAGATTAGCTGAAATATGTGGCCCTGGAGCACAAAACCAGTCATAAGTAGCACGGGTATATAGGGCTGCACTGACGAGCTGCGCAAAAAATCGCGCGAATATGAACGTGGTTTTGCGCAGCTCGTCAGTGAACAATGGCTCTGTGTAGTTAATGCTGCTCAATGTGAAAGCACGCAGGTGATGGAGATTTACCGCTGATTACAGAACCAACTTTACTGATAAGATGCGCATTAAATATTGCATGCGATTTATCGTGGAGCGCTACGGGTATATTTGTAGCAATAGCCGGAAATACATTGTATGGGTCAAAATTATAAATTTTTCTTTTATGCCAAAAATCATTAGGATATTAAAACTGCAGTCCGTATTTTTTATTTTGGTTAAAAATAATCCAAAATCTATATTTGAGCAAGTACATAACCAGCCAGTGTTCAAAACTATCGCCTTCAGCCCGATTCACAACGGTTAGCTTATAATAATGTTTTCTAATTTGAGTGGTATGGGTGGTTTCGTGGGAAATTTGAGCATGCTGCTGCGTCATTTCGTCACTTCTGTAAACAAAAAGAAGTTGTCCCGGCTACTAGGCTATTGCATGTGAGGATCCTGCAGGTGGCAGATCGTTAGCCTTTTTTCTCACAGCAGCTAGAATAATTAAATGTCAAAAAATAATTTTGAGTGCAGATTGTAATCCAGAAAGGATTATATGAAAATAAATTATATTCCAGTTTTAAATGTGCTTCTGATTACAGATCAGTGGGATTACACAATTTTGTATTTTAAAGACAACCAGTTCGAAGGGAGCATAGTTTGCTTTTTGGGTAAAAAAAATTTCTTGGTATGAAATTCGAATGGTATGGCAATTAGTGATTAGACTGTACTGAAATTTAAATCTACACATACTGTACTCATAGTCACACAATGCTGATGTTGTTAACATTAATAATCTGAGAATAAAGTATAACAATAATAATAATTTGCATGGTTTGATGTGATATGAGCTAATCGATCGTTAGATTAAATCACTATTGGTAGCACGATTTATTGTAATGCTTTTTTCCTCAGTTGGTCAGAACAAACGTGGCAGACTTGTTACTTGTTCAGAAGACAATATCCGGTGAAAATTCTTATTTGAGTCATATATTCCAAGACGTAGGCTAGAATCTGTGATGATTATGAAGTATAAGATTCACACCGGTGTGGTGACTGACTGCCACACATACTCCTCAAAACATTAGATTCATCCGCGCTGGAGCCGTGCCAGAGTACAACCCACACAAGGAAGATAATTCTGCAAGTAACTGCAATTCCAGGTTTTCAAACAGAGATGGCGATAAAGAGGCAAAGCTTAGGACTGTAGCTTTAAGTAAAGATCATGTACCATGAAGATATTGTGTAAATTTCCTACTGTAAAAATATCAAAACTTAATTTTTGATTAGTAATATGCATTGCTAAGAGCATAATTTGGACAACTTTAAAGGCGATTTTCTCAATATTTAGATTTTTTTTTGCACCCTCAGATTCCAGATTTTCAAATAGTTGTATCTCGGACAAATATTGTCCTATCCTAACAAACCATACATCAATAGAAAGCTTATTTATTCAGATGTTGTATAAATCTCAATTTAAAAAAGTGAACCCTTATGACTGGTTTTGTGGTACGGGTCACATATTTAATAAACAAACATGCAAGAGGCCAGTGTCATCTTGTTGAATCAAATCCCTGTAAGACCCCAAAATGATGCCATCGGCTGATGGGTACTTTTGGTGCGACGAAGTCATGTTGGAAAGATCATATTTACGTGTTGAACACCGTCATAATTATGTGTGGAAAACTCATAACTTTCTTTAAACCCCCAGTTTCCAAGTTGGGGGTGTACCCGGTATTGTACAAACATGACAGAATATGTAACTATTACATTTACAATGAAATTCATAAATTAAATGCAAATATAAAAAAGCAAAAACACACCTAATGCACTTTCATTATTCATCATTTTATAGAAGAAGAGTTAATCATTTTTGCTGAATTTTTGCACTCTGACCATAGTGGCTTGAATGCACCTTACGTTGTGACTTCCAAACTTGTTAATACGAACTTTCCCTGGAGGACTTGAACGCACCATGTATCTAGTGCCAGATTAGGAGTCTTGCGATATCGAAAGCCTGGAATACACTACACAATTTTTGCCCTGATTTTTCTGCTGATTTACAGTCTGGAGAAGTCAACGCTAGTTGCTGATAGTCAGCGCCAGTCTGCAGATTAGAGTTGACGGATTCCACAGAAAATCGTGTAATGTATGATGGTCACAGACTCCGATTTTTTTAGCTTCAGGCTTTGATTCCATCCAGTCAGAGGATGAACATGTTTGATATTTTCAGCCAATTTTAGAACGCATATTGTTTTCATTTGTCAGTCATCTCCTAACAACAAGGCGCACGTTTCTGTGTGAGTTTGTTGTGATTGGAATGATTTCAAAGTCTGCTATTGTGTGATCCTCAGTCGTTTAGTGTATGATGGCCAGTTTTCCTCTGTCACTACTTACAAAGTCGGTAAGTATATGATGCCTAGTGTTTTAAAAATCTGTTCAGATTTTAAAAGTCGTGTAGTGTATTCCAGCCTTAAAGGGGTCATATGATGCGATTTCAAGTTTTCCTTTCTCTTTGGAGTGTTACAAGCTGATTGTGCATAGATAAGATCCCTGAAGTTGCAAAGACTAAAGTCTCAAAACCAAAGAGATATTCTTTATCAAAGTTAAGACTCTGCCACGCCCCCCTAAAACGGCTCGTTCTAACACGCCCCCACATATCTACCTCACTGTGGAAATATTAGCATAATGCGGCCCAAATGTTCACGCAAAGAAAGAAGGCGTGGTTTCAGTATCCGCAGTTAGTGTTGAAGCAGCGTGTCAGGGAGACGCTGTGTGTTTCTAGGCGAAAGCAAAAGCACTTTATTTG